ACTTTATCATGCATTGATATGCCTGTGATAAAATGAAACACTGGCTATCTAAATAAACAGTTTTGGTATCGCCAGTTTTTTTGTTTGGGAGCGTTGTGTTGAGGAAAGCAAAATCAATAAATAAACGGCATTAGTATAACCAAACCAGCGTTTCTCTTGTCATCAAAGCGTGTTTGAAATCATCAAACTGACTAAACATTCTAATGAGTTTTTCGGACAAATCGGTATAGAGGAGTTTGTATAAATTGTAAATACAGTGTGCAGTTGGATTCAGACAGAGGAGGTTCTAAAAATGTCATCGGGTTCTTGAATTTGTATGCAGAAATATCAAGTTTCATGTTCTTCAAAAGCAAACTTATTTGATACAGAAAAAAAAGAATGTTTACGTAGCAGTGATCGAGAATTCTAACGGAAAGACATTACAGTTTTTGTATTTCTTATTTAAAACAAAAATTCTACCTCAAACATACACTTAATAATGATGATATGACGTTTCATTACCATAAAATGGTAATACAACAAATGGTAATCACAAAGAGTTGAAAAATAGAACTATTTTAATTTAGTCGCTCATCCCACTAAAATATCATTATTGATCATATCGTGTGCTTTCAAATAATCACGAGCAGAAATAATTGGTTTCACTTTTAATTGAAGGTCAATGAATAAATCCAACAATAGCGTTCGGTGAAATTTTCATGGAACGCTGACTTTATTTGTTGACCTGATGCGAAAAACTGGAACATACTCGTTTCAAATGATGACGTATTTCATTCAATTTTATTGATGATTATTTATATTTATTATAAAATCACAGTATACGAGTACACGGTCTCGTAGCTAATGTAAAATAACGCTCAAGATACTTGTGTTTAGTCACCGACATATGAAGTTCATTCAACAAAATAAGTTCTTGACATGAGGTCCTATTCTGACGCTTCCTCTCCCACTCAAGAAAGAAAACTTTCATTACACTGAGTCACACTTTCTTCAGAGATGTACAACACGATAAAAACAGGGTCACCGTGAATTGTTTTCATAAATTATACTTGTATCTTTGTATTCATCTGTCGAAGAACAAATATAAGTAGTATTACTCACCGTTTCTGTTAGTGATGTCAGAGTATTTACGATGTCTGGGCTAACATCAAGAAAAGCGCATTCCAAGTTTACTATCTTGGATAGTATTAAGAAGTATAAATACGTAGAGTTCTATTTACAACATTTTATGTACAAAATTCATTTGTGTCGATGCAATGGAAATTTCGCTGAAGTTCATAAAACGATTCATCTAGTATTTACAGTGAAAAAGAAAAGCTAGACAGGGGAGTAGTTTTCTGATAATAAGTTGTATTATATTCCTACTTCTGAACAGGTGGCCGATATTTTTACCAAGTCACTGACGGCACGAAAATTTAAATATTTCAGTGAAATGTTAGGCATTTGTGCTATTGATAATTAAATGTACTCAGTAAATAAGTATTGATGATGTTTTGAACTGAATAATGAAATGTTGAAGTTGTTAGTATATAGGAATTAAGGGGGGGTTGATTGTAACTTTGGCTATATGGCAATTCTCATACTGGAACGTACCCTTAATCTTTCTGTTCATACGAGTTGTGCTATGCTGATACTTTTTGTTCTATGCATTTTTGAAAGAAGACAAGTAATTGTACGAAGGACAGTGGACGCAACGTCAATCTATGTAACTTTTCTTTTGAGCCTTTTAAACAAATACAAGTAGCTTTGGAATCAAAAGTGTTTCATTAACTCAATGAAGTCTGTACAGTTTTTTTTCTTATACCATGCAAATGTGTTGTGCAACGCGTTAGCATATAAAGAACGTGTGTTCCATACGGTAACAAAAACGGTCGCTTTTTTTTAACCTTTTGAGTTAGATTTCAGGTTCGTTGGCATACTAATAGCGTATGCAGGCCGTTATTATCGAAACAAGCGATTAAACAATTTAATTCTACCATTCGCCACTTCACTTTGCCATACAAAAACAAATAAAATCCATTGAGTTGAGGATCCAGTTTGCAAACGTGCTACAATCGCTCTTCGGATTATGACTATAGTACAGTGGAATCAGAAGTTTTTAATGGAAAAATCTGAAAGATATTGTTTTCCTGATCTAGAAGAGCTAAACTGTTCAAACAATAAGTTGTATGTTCAAATTTTACGACGTAGGTACATTCGATAAGCTCCGGAAGAAGAAAATATTAAAACTAGATAGTGGCTGGTTCACAGATGGATCAAAAACACCTTCCGGTTCTGGTGCACGTGTTTTCAGTCGCAGACCCAGGACAAAGATATCAACCTGTCTAGGAACCTATGCGACTGTATTTCAAGCGAAAATTTACGCTATGAATTGTGTGCTAAGAGATTGGAAAAATCCAACCTCATACACGAGTCAATAAAAATATTCCCTTGCTCTTGGCTCCTACAGAGCAATGTCTAAATTGGTAGCAAATTGCCAAAAACGACTCTCCTCGATAGAAAGACTCAACAGATTGTCTCTATGATGCACTGTTTGGAACTGTAGAGTCCAGAAGAAAAATCTACCCGTTTAACTCCGGTTCTCTGAGTTCAATGGAAATTGTCTAATGAGTATCTATTATTCGTACAGCAATTACTGCAAACCCCAACAACAATACGATTTATTGACAAAAACTGTTTTACTTTTTATTGACGTTAGTACATTGGCAAAAATTGACAACTCTTCTGACAGACATAGTATTTTCAATATAAAAAAGTATTATACAGGGCGGTTTGGGACAAAACTCAAAATAGATTTCTCAACATTTTCGTAACAGGAACCCTCGGTGTATTAATGAATATTACTGGAGTTTTTTTCCAACACCAAATCGTTATTTTTAACACCTCGACACGTGTTTCGATCACCAAGTGATCATCTTCAAAGAGGAAGATTCAAACTAGAAACTAATGCGAGCTAACCCTATTTATGCTATATAACTATGGAAAAAGGAAGTCCAAAAGACAAAGACGAGAATTCGGAAAAGTCTGGAATTTACGAAATTGAATGTAAGGACTGCGATGCAAAATATTATGGACAGACAAAAAGATCTATTAAAGTAAGATATAAGGAACACATAGCACACTCAAAATATGGAAGACCTGAAAATTCTTTTGTTCATGCCAGATTCGATTTATTTTTTGATGGAATCCTTCCACTGAAATTAAATTCAAAAATTTTTTTATAAACAATTATGTCAGTCCATCTTTTCCGTCATTTTTCCTGCACTAACAAGCAATCACCAATATCTGAACCGTTAAATCAAATTATTGTATCGTATGCTTTCTTTTGTTCATGCCAGATTCGATTTATTTTTTGATGAAATTCGTAGAAAAACAACGGCACGAATTTCTGCGGTGAGAGCAATACAAGAAAACAATATCGTTTTTATGGGGAAAAATTAATTTCAGTTTCTTTTTCGATGATTCCTCTTCAAGATTGATACGGCAATTGAACAATCGATATTGTAGGTTAGCGAGCAAATTCTCCAGTTTCAACGCGGGAGAAAGTTTGTCAATTATGATAATTGAAATATATGTGTTCTGTGGTCATCCATGAAAATAATTATACAATAGTCACTATTTATTTAAGACGCGTTGCCCGCATTGAATAAACCCAGTTATTTACCTCATTTGGTGAAGACAGTGGTCAGAACATTACAAGTTCATGCTGTTGAGCTAGGACAATCCGTGATAGTTCTTCAGTATCCACCAACAGTGGCTTAAACTTCATCGACCTTTCTCATGAAATAAAAATCAACATCTAACATTCCAAAATCTAAACTAGTGCAATGTGTTTTGAAAATCGTTTTGTGTTTCCAAATAACTCTGGATAATGTGTTGCAACTCCATGCGCGGCAACGCTGTTGAAGGAATGCCTGTTTAATAATAAATATGAACTGGCTTACATACTACAAGAACTATGTTTAGATAACTATTTTGACAGTTTCCCGCCCTTTTGTTTACTTCCTTAGACATCCACCTGAGCGCTGTACTATACATTAATTGTGCTGTTGCTGAAAAGATGTCAGTTGGCAAAATTGAAACAATTTGTTTTGTTGGTTTGACGGTGATTGACAATGGAAGTCCGAACTAGTGAAATGCAATTTGTTTTGTCAAATGACATTAATTTATATTGGAATCCACGTGTTGTGTCGCCGGTGGAATGGATTTTTTGGTTGTGTGTTTTGTTTTTGATATTGTTTATTAAACTTTGATGTGTTGTATCGCTATTTTTCCGCAGAAGCCAAGCCAATAGATATAACATTTTTGTACATTTAATCAAGATCATTTTTCTTACTGAGAGAGTAACAAATTTTGACATCCGATATCACAAAAGGCTATTTTGAAAAAATGTTTGGGTGAACTTACATATTTTGATGCGTAGATTACGAATCCGAAAGAAAAAAAGCAGCGCTCTTCCTTATTTACAAAGTTACGGCCCTCAAAGTTCAGAAAAGGGCAACTTTTCAGCCTTCTTTTTCACAAGATAAACTATTTTAAAACACAAGCATTTATTAACTAGGTTATCTTTATACCTTATTCCTCCTTAATTGACACTGTTCAATTCAACAATCAACATTTTTCTTATAAAAAACTTAATTTACCAACGAATGCTTCTTCTAGTGACATTCCTCTATTTCTAGGTTAGTTACTAGTGTCATTTCAGAAAAAAGCGGTTGGTATTTGTGCCGCCAACTATTTCAAATTCGTAGATTTGGATTTTCAGTTTGACGTGAGTGATTATAAAAACACAAAATGAATTAGTGAAAATAAGAGAAAATATTCATCTTATCTTATTACACCACTAATTTACGATCTAAAAAATAGAGGCAAAAAAAACATTTGAATTACTTTAGATATATGTTTTATAAGCGTGCTTTCTTTATAAACGAGTCACAATAACTCTCTTCTTATTGCCACTTCTACCGTGTCCTCAAACGTCATGTATTGTTTCATTTCAGTCGTTCAAAACCTGATGGGAGAACCTGACTACAGGCAAGTCCGACTGCACTGGGAAGTGAACTCTTCTGCGGTGCCGAAAAATGGATTCAGCGTCCGTTACTGCGAGCTACAGACTTGGGGCGCGCAGCGATGCCGCATTCACAATACTACCGACTCCTCGGACCGTAACAACATCGACGCAGAAGATAATTTAGCGGCGTTCAAGGCGGAAATCAAGGGCCTGAGGATGGCCACTACGTACACCTTTGAGGTCAGGGACGTCAAGGACGAGAAGGGCGAGAGAGAGGAAAGGGCCGAAGGAGATGATAAGAACCAGAACATTATTGTGATACCTACCAAAGGATGTGAGTTTTGAAAGCTTATTACAGCATTTGAGGTGAATGTCGTGATGATTTTATTCCGTGGAACTCCACAAATATTTTGGTTCGTCTCTATTTCGTCTCTATACTTTGATGTTGAGAATTTCAGTATATCTACCGTATCTCGTATCCTAACGACAACATAATCCACTAGGGCAAATACCTTACAGAAGAGTAACCCTTTTTGCTGCCCTTTGGTGCTGAGGGATACAGTCAATTTAACCTAATAATTATCAAGACTTGCTTCAAATTCACAAAATCGTCACCAGGGAGTGTCCCTATTCAGGAAAACCACGAAGTGGGCGGCATCTAGGTACAATAATTCAAACTTCAAACTCTAGGAAATCATCATTAGGATCCATTTGATATTCCTTTTTTTCTAAAAGTATTATATGCCTACTATGGCTAAAACCTCCATCATTATAACTATAGAAACAATGTTTTTTATTTGAAGCGCTTATTACCAAATTCACATAGTCTCAGCTACTATTCGTGTTTCTCGACATGATAACGAAAGAGTCAAAAACCCACAGTTTCTTGTAGTATTAGATATATACACTGATCTGAGATGTGAGCCTGTAACTAATGCTGGTGATATCAAAGGATTTTCTTGCCGCTATACATCTGGTCGTATTCGAAAAGGTCTAGTACTCCTCAATCCTGAACTATCAGAATATTCGTTCTCTATTATATATATGGAATACAATATATTCTCATGAAACTCATAAAGCAGCTCCACTTTAAAATTTTGTAGCAATTCATAACTGAATACAACTAGTAGAATCATAAAACTGAGGCAATGACTCATATGTCAACCCACACAACTTAAGAAGAAGAGCAATTTTTTCGCAAGAGAATCATTTTTGCAAGGCTGCAAACCTGAAGAAAAACAGTGTATTCAATGAAATAACAATAAAAACCAACTCGATATTTATTTAAAAACATCATTCTTTTGGGAATATTCTGGGATGAAATAATGCATTTCTCTTTGTAACTTCTTATCTCAAGTATCAAGAATATATTAACCAAGAAACCACTATCAACAAACCCGAAAAATAGCTTTGAGTTCATTTCAGGGATTTTGTGTTTGAACTGTTTCTCTCGTTAGAATATTCTACAATATGATTGATAATTTTGTGGATATGTTCAAGGAACGTCTGGCAAATGAGTAAGAACTAGTGATAATGTGATAGAAGTTCAGAAAACTTTAATTCTCCTAGCAAATTCCGAATGTTACAATATATGCTGTCGATACCCTGACTGTCACTAGAAAAGATCAAACACTCCTTGCTTCTAGTTGTGAAACCTATAATATACATATATATAAAACCATACATGTTTTTGTAGAAGCAAATTTGGAAAAGAACTTTTGTTGTAGGGTATTTAAACATTATAAATAAACGCTTGAAACGAAACCGAAGAGAAGTCAACAATGACTATAACTGTTACAATCGAAACCTACAAAACACTGAAATGCTGCTGGAGATTTCAACTAATCCACGTTAATCTCTAGTTTAACATTTAGGTTGAACTCTAACTTGAACCAAACCTACAAAACTGGCTCTAAATTATTGTTTTTCCCATAGTTTCAGCCAAAGCGACGCAATGTCTTCCGCACGCGAGCGAGATAGAAGTATCGACGGGCCCGTTCTTCGGAGGAAGAATCGCTGTGGAAGCCACTGACGGCGAAAGATGTGCCATCGATGGCGAACCAGATAGCCCCAGAGACACGTACACACTGCGCATTAATCACACCGAATGCGGCAGCCAAGTCAACGAAACTACCGTTGCAACGTTCGTTTTAGTGCAGGAGAACCTGCCAATTTTGACGCACAGTACCAGAAGGTGGGTAACTTTGATTGAGCTTTGTCATGGTATGTCGATAAAAGATTTTGACAGATACCTTTGTTGTGATTTTCATAATTTTGACATAACTTCATTAATTATGTAGAATTTCGTCTGATTTTGGAAATAATAACACGATATGAGATTAATGAAAAGAAAGGAGAAGGCAATATTTAAATTTAGGTTTGGAAGCGATGATTGTCCAAAAATTTTTTTGTGGAACTGGTTAAAGGTCTAGTTAATGAACCCAAAAATTCATTAAAAATCGAAAAGAAGAAGAATCAACGCGTTAAGCGGGCAGCAAACACAGTGAACTTTGACAGATTTTACTGCTTGAACAGCAACTACTGTTGACTTCAAATGATCGGACTTTATAATAAATAATTTTTTGAAAAGATGTCAATTTTTGATGACTCACACGAATGGTACATTTTTCAGATTGTAGTTTCATCTTCATCAAATTTGAAATGTTTTTGGGAAAGAAAAGTTTTGGCTTTCTACTTCTCCATACAAAAAATATGGGAGTCTTCCACAGAAAAGAAGGAAGCAATCAGTTTCAAAAATTAACTCTAAGTAAAGATGTGTAGATCATGCAGAGAAGCAACTTTCAGACACAAACTGGAAGAAAAAGCCTTTTCGAAACAGCTACTTTCATATAAACATTGAATTGCACACGTTTCTCTGTTCCGTTTGTATTCCAAACATTCGTATGGAATTGAATCGGATATCAGTCACAGGATTCCTACACAATATAATAAATAAAAGAGGTAAACTTTCACTTGCATGGAACACAGGACTCACTGGTAGACATGCGATGTTTCGCCGTAAGACACTTGCCTTATCGGCTTTTCAATGCCGAATACATAAATTGTCAAGTAGAGCAGGCTGAGAGAAAGCAGAAATATCACCTTCCAACATGCAGAATAATAGAAAATATGGTATTGCACTAGAAATGAAGAGAGAATTTCAAAATTTTATCTTGTAATGGATTGGACTGTATTTTATTTCCAGAAAAATCAGAGATTCCTACGAAAATTACTTTCAGTAAAAGAAGAAGTAGGAGAAACCATAGCTCCCATCTCCCATAGAAGCAACATAGTACCGATCTTCGTAATCACAATGCTGGTCATTGCAGGAGTTATAAGCATCGTAGCGCTGGTCCTGAAATTGGCAGGAAAGAAACTGATCGAAGAATTCGACAATATTTCCATAGCTTCCGATATTTCGACGAGCAGTTGCAGTACCGTAACGGAAATAGAAGCCTCAGAAACGAATAAGGAGAAAAGTAAAGGCGAGTCGCCAACTGTATGAGACTAAGACGGTATAATAGGTAGAATTGAGTTCAATGACTCAATTATAAGTATCAAAATTACAATTCATCTCAACGTGGCCTTGTGAAAGGTTCTTCGAAAAAGAAAATCTCATGAAGCTTCAGCTCGAACGACTGCGATGTCCAAAGCATAATTCAGCTTTGTATCAAAATATTCCCAGTGGGTTTTTTATTAATAGTATAAATCCAGCATGGGCTAGCTTAGACTGACTACATCTTGCTACATAACCTCAATAATAGGCAATTTATGTATTTTGTACGTGACTGAAACAATTTTGGAAAACAATATAAGTACGTGTTTTTTATCCTGAAGATACTTCTACTTCCTCATGGAGGCTTATGTGATAAACATTTGAAAGAAATATTTATTGTAACCGGAAAGTTGAAATAACAATAATCCGGATTGTTTTTTGTGGTACTTATTTAATATTTAACTTGAGACAATTGCGTATTGCTGTGATATACCAGGTGTTTCACTTTTCTATTGGAATAAAATTCTTTTCGAATTAGTAACATGGAGAAACAACACCCGGTATAGTATGCAATTGGAATATTTTTTATTTATTTGATGATTTCAGTGATATATTTCTTAGAATAGGACTGTAATAGAATCTAATAAAACTTATTTTGATTCCAAATGGGTTTTTGTTCTTCAGAAGACGATTCTCATCGATCCTTAAGGGTTGAGGAAGACTACACGCATACTATCGATATGAAATTCAGGGAAAATTTTGGCTGAGGTGACGTGTAGATTACGAATGCGAAAGAAATAATCGGTGACTTCTATTATTTCCAAGTAAAATGCTTTTGCCTTCATTGTTAAGATCTTCAATTGTTTTTTGACGCTATATTAAGCGAAAAATGGATTTAAAAAATATATTAACACTGTTATCAGTACAAACTCAGACAGATCTGTTCACCAGGACTGTCGGGGAAGAACAAACTTGCTGTCATAAATGTGTGGACTCGAGAGAAGCTATACCCACTAACTCGACCTTGGTTTATCAAAATACCTGACTTATGATGCACTGTTTGGAACCTTTGGTGTAGTAATGAATACTACTGGAGTTTTTTCCCAACACCGAATCGTTATTTTTAACACCTCGACACGTGTTTCGATCACCAAGTGATCATCTTCAAAGAGGAAGATTAATCTTCCTCTTTGAAGATCTTCCTACCGCTGTTTTTCCCTATTCTGTAAATGGGTTCATCCTTCAGAATAGTGCATGAAATGAATAAATAAATAAATAATGATGGCTATGGAGGTCTTTGACACCAGTTGCAGGGTTCGTCACACGGCGGCTGAGACTTTAATGCACTTGCTGCGGCATGTCCAGCATAAGTGGTCTCTTCTATCAACATCACACGGCCCTAGGAGTGCTTCACTACCAGAAGCCCCTACAAAAAACCAATGTTGCCGATGCTGGACAATATTAAATCCATTGTGAACGAGAAGTGCCGAATTTATTGGAACTACTCATTTCCGTCCCACAGGTATATACAAGCTAATGAAGATATAATATTCCTTGAAGATCAGAGTAAGCCCTTCACCAATTCATTATATGGATAAATAATTCATCAAATCACACCAACTCTGTTACTGAATCAACAAATTTTTCTGCTTACCGTATTCTGAAAGCATTACACATACTGAACAACCGTTGTGCCATGAGTAGGTATTGTTAGTCAGTCGTCTCTGGTGCTTCTGAAATACTTTTGGAACAATGATGACTAGCCGAGCCCCCAAGGAGGTTGTTCGAGTGGAGGCTCCTGGGGACAAAATAGAGGAAACCAAGGTGACGGTTACTGAGGTGGATACCAATCTGGAGGTAGTGGATATGGTGGAGGAGGTGACGGAGACTATGGAAATGGGGGAGGCTATGGTGGTAACTCTGGTGGTTATGGAAGTGGTGACGGTGGATATGGAGGTGGCCGTGATAGGGGCAGTGGCGGTGGAAGGAGGTGGAGACAGGGGTGGTGGTGGTTATAAAAACGGCCGAAGAGGTGGTGGAGGAAGAGATCGGAAGGGTCGAGAAGGAGGCAGCGATAGATGTGAAGGCGGTGGCCGCGGAGACCGAGATTGAACAGGGAAAGACATGGCGGAGGATTCAGAGGGCGATGGCTTCGGTGGTCGTGGCGGTCGGAAAGGAGACCAAGGTGGAGTTGGTGGTGGTCGTGGTGGAAGGGACGGTCGAGACGGTGGTAGCGACAGCGGTGGCAGGTTCCGACCTTATTAGGCAAACGTCCGTTTCAGTTTTTTCAATGTGTGTATTATTTAAAAATTGTGAATTACCTAATTTTTTGTATTTAGTTAGTAATTACTCAGGACAGGAATAAAATATAAGTTCAGAAATATACATTTTCTTCTGAAATTTATTATAAGTTTACTTCATGTTCAAATGTCTATTAATGTGTAATGAAATAGTGTCTTGAGTTTAAAAAAAACCTAGATTCAAGCGACTATACCGGAGTCGAGAATTAGTCGTTATGGTGGGAAGGGAACGCGAAAATGCGAAAAATGTTCGCATGTCTCCGATACTGCATACACCACGGTCCAAAACAAATCACAACTTCAGTAAAAAACAACTGTTGTTTCCATTTATTTACTTCAACACTACAATCTTCTTCTCATCGTGCAACTTTGGTGGAGCGAGAACAAAACTCTTCATATTTTCGTTCAGTTCTTCCAGCGCTAGTTGAGACTGCAGCCGCATAACATCGTCACTATCGCTGTTGTATATATCCTTTAGAGTCCTGTAAATCGTCAGGATGTCATCCTTCAGGAAAGCTATCGTTTCTTTTTCGAGGCCAACGAACAACTGTCTTATAACACCGACTGCCGCACGCCTTGCTTGAGGCGATTTGTCTGTGGCTATCACTGCGTGGACGCATACCAAAACCTATCGAATACAATGATAATAATAATACACATTTATTTTACAAAATAATAGATCACATGCAGATATTTTTATGATTAAAATAACATTTTTTAAAAGTATTGTCAACAATACTTGTATGCACGTTTGCATAATTTGAAACCCCTCGAGCTTCTACTCATCGCTATTTTGATATTATTCAAGTATATTTATTTTCTGAAACGTGGCATAACCTCAGAGTAATAATATACTCTGAGGTCTGAGGGCATAACATAGACACACAGAACACTGACAGAAGCACATTTCATTAAGGCTGCGTTCAGAAACATTCATCATATAACGTGATTTTAACAGACAACACTGGGTTAACATCCATTACTCATTTTTATTGTACTGTTGTGATGGATGCTGTTGTTATTGTGCTTGTTTTTGAATGTGTTTCAGTTTTGAACTCTTGAATATTGTTTTTTTTTAATTTTGCTGTTTCTGTCAAGAGATTCTTGTCATTTATCCAAAGATCTATTATGAAATTCTACAAGTAGAGGACCTTCTTTCTGTCTGATTCTCGTTACTGAACAATGAAAATTTACGAGGGCCTCGTGACAATATTCACAAAGAATAAACAACCTCAAGGAGATTATTAAAATTATTCCGGTAATGTCGCATTGGAGTAATTTACTCAAGACAATGTTTATTTCAAATAATTATTCATAGGAAAGAATTCATTTAATAAAATTGCAGGTGTTTTCATTAGTCTTCCAATTATAAACACAAACATGTCACTTACCTCAGTAACTATTGTGCCCAATTTGTAACCTAGAACTTTACAAATTTCACCCAAGTTTGATAAACTAGAAGCCCTGATGAGATCGTCATCCTCTTTTGTTCCGACTAAAAATGTGTTTAGCAACAGTGGTTTGTACTTTGGAGCCATGTCGCCTGAAAATAAGTAATAGAGCTGAGGTAATTGACTTTGAAACTACACTAATGGAATAAATGAATATTCTTCATAACAAATAATTATGAATGTTGATTAGCGGTAAGACCATTCCAGTAAGTATACATTTTCTCAAAATATCATTATAAATTTTTGTGATGAAGAAAATTACTTTGAAAAACAGAAGATATGACATTTTCCCTGACAAAGGGGAAATGAAGGAGATTGCAAAGTCAAGCTTCGATAGCTAGATTTTTACAGAGAGTTTCAAATTAGTGTTCAGTGTTACGACTCTTAAAACAATTGAATGAGCGTTTGCCAAAAACCTATACAGCAACACTATCAGTAGTTGTTCGAGAAGTTTATTACTTGGACTGAAGGTCATGCAGGGATGTAACAGTATCAAGTCTCGGAGAGGAGTTCATTACCCGTTGTTGGCTATCTAGATTAAAAATGGGCAATTAAAATAATCGTCTCAGACGTCGAATAACTGGTACATTGACGAGTGGCACTCAAAACGCATTTAAACTAACTGAACATACTAATTACTTCAATAATTACTTATGAACGTTCATCATTTGATGAGTTGAAATCGCAAATTCGTAGGATAGCGAGAACAATAGTCGCGAACTGTGCGAAAAATAGGAAAATCACCTCTCAGCCGCTTCTATTTTAACATCGCAGGCTCTTTGCCGAGTTAGTAATTTCCACCCATTCTTTCATTGTTAACTCTATCACTACGAGTTATTTTTCTCTCTGACTGCGCTTGAGAAAAAAAGTTAATATGTTATTTGACAGGACAATTACACGTAAGGCTCATTATTTACTCAATTGGAATGGTATTGTTTTCATTACTGTTGCCTCCATTGTACGAAGCGGAAATAATTTGGAGTTACAGGTGCTTTCACAACTACTAAACATTAAATGTGAGGAATTGTGTGATGGTTTTGTAATATAAACAAAATACATTACAGGTTATACATATTCAGTATCAACCTATGTATATCGTCATTGTTTCCAAGTGCTTCTATGAAAAAAAAAATAGAATATTTGAGGGCTCTTCATATGAGTAACTTTTTTTGCTGGTATCTTTTTGGCAACACTGTTTTTGACATTTCACGCGTGAATCGTGTCTTGTGTCATTGTCAAACTCGTTCAGTTTGGTCTATAATTTAACCATGAATCGACTTACGAATGAACAACGCTTGCAAATTATTGAATTTTATTATAAAAATGCATGCTTGATGAAGAAAGTGCATCGTGCACTTCTTTCAATTTATGGGCACTTTCGTCGGCCTACTGAAGGAGCTATTCGGAAGCTTGTGACTAAACTTTGAGCTCAGTTTACATTATTGGACATTAAACCACCAACACGCATACGTAGAGTGAGGACCAAAGAAAATATTGCGGCTGTATCCGCCAGTGTTCGTGATGACCGTGAAATGTCGATTCGCCGCCGTTCGCAGCAATTGAGTCTCTGTTACTTCACTACGTGGAAAATTCTGCGAAAGGATTTGGGTGTAAAACCGTATAAGATACAGCTGGTGTAAGAATTGAAGCCACGCGACCTTCCACAACGTGTAACATTTGGTGGTTCAGCGACGAGGCTCATTTCTGGTTGAATAGATACGTTCAGATTCACAACTAGATTTGTCAAGCTGTACATGCAATTCATAAACTGTTTCTCCGGACATGCCAAAACTATCTTTTATGAGTATGAGTAGAAAAAGTAGGTTATTTCTCACGCATACATTCGATGTAGATGAGGGGATGTGCAATTTTTGACACACAGAAGAGTTAGGTAGATGATTCTTAATAATAAATCTACGAATATTAGTTCTAGGATTGAAATTTGACGTATATAGAATAAATATAATTTCTTTCAGATATATTTCCAAAGCTTTTGCCACTGTCTGAAAAATGATTGGACATTTCCTTATTCTTAGACTTGATACCTTTCCCTTTAAAACAAGATGAGACATTAAAAAAATTCTAGAATTCCAATATAAACAAAATCAAGAAAACTGTGATTCTGGGATTCATGAAATAGACTAGAAGGACTGTCAAAAAAATTATGTTGGTCATACTAACCGAGTTATTGAAAGGTGTTTTGAAGAGCAAGTGACGCATATCCAATTTCGTAGACAAGAAAACTCTAGTGTCGTTTTGAAGGGACACAATAGATTAGAAAATCATTGCATGAAATTGTTGAGGCAGGAACTTTGAGACTGAACTTCTAGATGATTCAGTCAGAAAATGGGAAAGTGGCTCATGTGAACTAAAAATATCAATCAATCCATTGTTCTCTCTATTATGAGTCACTATATTTAAAATTTTGTAGTTGAAAAATCGTCGATTTATGAATAAAAGTGCACTTGATAATTGGGTAACGAAACAAGCGTCGTGAATGGGAATTCATTCGTGTTGAATGGAAGCAGGATGTTATTGAATATTGACATAAAAAATATGATCCACCGTCCACGAAAAGTCCTACAAAATAAGTGGAATCTGTTTCCAAAGGAGCATATTTTGATGGGAAATACTCTTACAAACAATATGACTTGAATTGCATGTGACAAAAGAGATCCCTGAAAAGACAAAACTATGCCACATCTTCGAGTCATAAAGTCGATTAGATTGAAACTGTTTATTTGTGAAACGGCGCATTTCTGAAATAGACTTCAAGATTTTCCAAATAAATGAACTGCCGCATTTGTAAAGGTACTGCTCTCAAAGCGCTTGTTCTCGATAAAAATTAAATTTCCAAAGGAAACAATAATTATATTTCCACACTGCCCTATTTTGATAGTTTTCCCCAATCGTGTGGAAATGAAAATAATCAGCAAAGAAATCATCGTTTTCAACAAAAATAATAATGCTGCAGCAAAATATATATTATCTGCCTTTCATGTCGTGGATTTATTGAACATGATCATCATGTAAGCAATCATCAACAACAGTTTCAATAATGGATTAATGCAAAGTATATAACGGGTTACAATAAAAAGCTCGATTGAAGTGTATAATAAAATCATAACTTTGTGGGAACGATATTGAAGATAAAAAGGTTACAGTTACAGAGACGAACGTACGTGGACAATAACTATCATAAAGCGGTAGTGTCAAAACGTTTATATGAATCATGAAGTACTTCGAGGGGCCCGTTATATACTGCAGGAAAATTAGGACATCGGTATCACATAACGTATAATGTATTCAATAATATTGGTAATATTTTCCTCTGACTCAGTGAGACATTGCATTTGAACAACAGAGAATCTACGAGGTGAGTAAAGGCGATGACATGTCCACTTAGAAAACGAGGCTGATCGGTATTCATGGAATGATGTCTATGTTGATCCCATAGATGGCGTATTCGTGGGGAGAGATGTCATCGCCTTTGCCACAGATCACAATAACTATGTTGTTGCGATCTGTGTTACTTTCCCAGGCTTATTCTTCAATAACACGCATCGCATTTTTCTGTGCCAGAAAAAAGTGAAAGTTTGAAAGAATATCGTTGTTAGTTGATATTTGCAAATTGATTTTCAAAAATCTTGCATTGAAGTATCATTAAATAATTATGTTTAGGAATACTCACCCAACTTCTTCGTCACCCGTACCAAACATTCCCCTAGTTTCATCCGCACTTCATGGCCATCTTCAGTGATTTTCCTGGAGGAGTCAGAATACTCTTCACACAAAATTTGCAGAACACTATCAGGAAAAACATCAGCGAGTGAAGCGAGGCCTCCTATGGCGCTCAGATAGATGAATGAATCTTCGTTTTTCAAATTTTGCTGAGAATTTAAAAAAATGTGAATACTTCGAACAATTTGGATTACTTTCATAACAAATCTTACCTGGAATACGTTGAGGATATAGTTCCTTTTGTCCATGGCATGCTTATCCTTGGTTTCCACTAATTTAGCAAGAGTCATCAACCCATGTCCTCTAACAGGAAGTAAAGGATCACAAATGTCCTCCAAAGCTTTATCCAAGTCAGTTTTTTCCTTCCCCAAACTTCGATCTTTCAGTCTTTTGTCTCCTTCCAAAACATCCAGAATTTGTTGTATCAGATCCCTTGCTTCAGTGATTACAATTTCCTTCGATAAATTCCTCAATGAATCTAATAAAGAACCATAGGCCATGATGTTGGTTGCATTAGCACCTTCAAGTAAACTCTGTAGAATCATCAGTATCGTGAACAAAGACTGAAACTCATCCGAATCTGTATTTGTACTCCTGTGGGTTCCTGTATCCAAGGTTCTCCTCAAAACGATTTGTATGTATTTTATAACATCGTGTGGATCTTTAGTCAACTCTTGCTGAACAGTTTTATCCCCAGACAACTCTGACAATAACCTGTACACAGTCATTTTTCTTTCAAAAAACTGATTCATAAACTCTTCTTCCAACTCCAGAAGTTCCACATTTCCTCTCTTGAAATACTTGTCGCTTTCCGATACACAATTGAGGAGGAAACCGAAAAGTTTCTGTGTGAGATCAGAATCTACTCGGACCAATTCCAGCAGGCAGGTAGAGTTTTCTGATGAAGCGTGAATCACGGAATGTTCGGAGAACCTGAGAATGAGCCTCTCGTCCTCTTTTTGTACAACAACATCATTCCTGAAGGGGAGTATCTCTGCAGTGTTGATGTCAAACAGAAAACTGTCAAATGAAGAGAATGAATCTTCTGGATACCTCCTCAAAAACCCTAGCAAAATTGCCCTCAAGTCATTATTGGTGAGTGTCAGTGGAGAAGATGAAGTTAAAGCGTAGAACCGAAAAAGAACGTTCAAAACAGGCTTCAGGACTTTGAAGGGAAGAGCTGGACTTTCCACGCTGTTCTGGACAAATATTGCGTGAAGCAAACGGGAATTTTGCCTCACCCTCCTAGTTAAATCTTCGCCATCCATAAATTTATGATCTCTGTACGAGAAATAGATGAAAAAACTAATAACGGGCCTGAGAAAATTATTTTTGGCAAATTCTGGATCCTCTTTGTAGAAGACTTTGGTACAATGGGCATAAAGTCTCTCATAAACGGAGGACTCCTCTGGTGTCTTTTCCAGAAGGCTCACCACTTGCTTGCAAGTATTCACATGAAAATCAGGAAACCGTCTGCAGCTCAGAATCAATCTGGAAAATATATCCAGAATCTTCCAGGTCTTTGTACTGTCGTTTTCACATTCTCCGAGTAACGTTGCGGCGATGCTTTCCACACCATTTTTAGATCGAATAATGGAGGTAAGTGACTGAGAAACTGCTTTCTTGAACCAGGTTGGTGAGTTTTCCCGGAAAATAACCATGAGTTCTTTGACAAAAATGGAAGGATGGATCGTCTCTCTCAAACCGTCAAGTATCTTGAGAGACATTCCTCTTTCATCGTTGAGTTTGTTGTAAATATCCTCGGTCATTACGTTGGTTTCGGTTCCTGGTGTTTCTGAAGGTTTTTTCAGAGGGCAGAAAGATATCTGGAAGAGTGCAACCAAGACTTCTTTCAAGCATTCTGGCAGGATCAGCAGTCTCAAATTCGAGGATTTGAAGAACTCGCATAGAGCGAACGTCGTGCATTTCAACACGTTATAGTCCCAGAAAATATCTTTGATATCACTTTGACGATTAGATTTGATGAAGAAAGGTAGTTTAGGTTGCAGTCTTGAGCATATTCCGACTTCCACGAGATTTCTTACGCATTTCCTAACGTCTTTGGATTGCTGGACGCTCAGTAGCAAGTCTGAATGTTCCAATTCAGTGTTCAACAGCTTTATGATGTAAAGGGATAAGCAAATGCATTTCCAGTCACCTGTGACCGTTTCGGAAAAATTCAAACTTATTATATCTGCTAGACTTTCTTCAATTATTTCAAAATTGATATCTAAATTACCGGCAACTTCGGCGAAAATTTCTTCACATGAATTTTCATTAGTCTCTCCTGGAAAAAGATATTTCTCAAAATAAGGTGACGATATATTCATTATATTCAATTTTGCAGACAGTAAAAGTTTAGTATTTACTATAAATATACTCCTTATGTGAGTGTAGGTAACACCTAAGATCAAATATTAAGAAAACACTTTGCTAATTCAATGAATCTAACCATAAAATCTATTTAAATATGAAACAACAGACAATTTCAAAATATTTCCACGGAAGCGTAAATTTCTACGAACTCAATTTCTTCCCTCAGTCTTTTCATATGATATTGATTCCATTTGGGATTTTCCTAATAAGAAATTTAATTATTTCAAGAAATGACACATGTAGCGACATCTCTTCGCCACAGTTCGCAGTAGGTCTGATTATAACAGGAATGCCAACATTATTTATGCTGCCATCTGTTAATTCATACTATAGGCGAATTCTCTGGGATATATCAGTTTTGACAAAATGTCATCATACTACTGAGGGAACTCCGATACTCATTCAACTACAAAGACATCGTCCAATCATTTCTTCTTGAAAATTAGGATAACAAAAAATTATAACCTACAAACCTTATCATTTTTGACAATTGACATGAGATGATTGGACTGTAGTTATTTCTTATTTTCTGTCTTACTTTCTTATAAACGGGTACATTATTATTTCACTTTTTGTTCAATTTTATTTTGTTTCCTATTTTATATTAAAAAGAGAAATGAAAATTTCTACGTTTTTTGCCACTTTTACCACGTTAGTTACAAATAAAAGTGGTAAAAAACATTGAAATTTTCATTTCTTTTTTCATTATGATCTCCTACCACGTAGTAACGGCTACATCCATCAATTTATTTTACATTACTCTTTTCATAAATCCACCTGAGTCTAGTCAGCGTTATTCTCAATCGTTGACCATAATCGTGCCTTAATTATTATGAATCCCAGTATATTCAAGTTAATCTTATTCGGAAGGTAAAGGTACAGACTCGAGTAAAAGAGGAATATCACTATTTCACAGAAGCATTGCAATAAAGCATTATAATAGGTTGTCAGTGTTCCGGTGAATTAGAGCAAGTGCTAATAATACTAGTACTTTTGTTTCAATTGAAGTTACAGGGCTACCGGGACTGCGACTAGCTATGATGCTTTTGTCGAAAACGGTCCAATCTGGAATAGGATTAGTGCCAACAAAACATCTACTATCGGAGGTTGAGCAATCAAGAACAGCCATGTTAATGTTCTGTGATGAAAATGTCAAATTAATTCAAATTATGGTCGAATGCGCCTGAATATTAAAGCAACGATCATATAATCAGAAGAAGAATAATTCGAATTATCTTGATAATCGATTCGATATCTTGAATCATCATAAATAATCGAATTATCGATTATTTTGAATTCGAAATAGCCCATACTACTGGCAACACTGCTATGGCAAATTCACAACTTTGTAGGTTATTATTATTAGCCAAAATTAGATGTAATGTCATAGTTTAATATACCTGATGCTTGTCTAGAATTTACTTTACACAAACACTCCACTAATTTACTTTTCATGGTGATACCTCACATGAATACATTGCAAACATTTTCACAACTATAAATGTCTAAACACAAATCACTCTTCTTATGTGTGTTGACGAAAGGGGGGGGGGTTAATGGGAAAGTTGTTGAGATTTAGAAGAAGATAACCGTTATTCAGGGTTCATAAGAAGATAACCGTTATTCAGGGTTCAGAAGAAGATAACGGTTATTCAGGGTTCATGCATCTTTATAGTTTTTTCTGGACTGCAAAAACTGGTGAAAAATTTAAATAAAAATGTATTTGCTGAATTACATATTTTAACTTAAATAATTAGCGAAATATAATTTAAAAATCCTAAAGACAACATAAATTATATGAGTTTTCCACCACGAAGTGCCAAAACTAAATGCAGAACTGATCCCCCTTGAACTTTGTAGTCCTGAGCAGTTTTCTCGTCATTCCTGAAACAAACAAAAGAATTGAAATGCTGATCTAGAACTAATGCCGACATACATCTAGTTAGAACTTCCGCTGTCCATTTATACGACCAGAAAAACCAACATAAGCTGGTAATCCAGTTTTATCTCACAAGTAGGTACCAATATGTTGAAGTGAACAACATCAAGTCGAACCTCAAAGAAATGAAGCATGTAGTTCCTCAGGGCTCCGTTTCAGGTCTACTATTGTTCTTGATCTACGTCAATGATCAATGTAGTTTTATAAAACCAGCAAGATGTTCCTTGTTTGCAAAGGATACGGCTTTATTATGCTCAAGCAAAGACTCAACCAGCTTACAACTAATGACGCAAGATAGCACAACTTTCTACTGTTTTGTTTGTTCTGAGACATTTGAATAATCTGGTGAGCTTGAGGATATTCAAAAGAGCCTACAATGGATTATTTCACTCAGTCACGTCATATGGTATTCTGATTTGGGGTGGGTGTTTCAGGTGCCAGAAAAGGCCATATAAATAATAGCCAAAGCAGGTTACAAAGAGCACCATCATCATTTATTTTATTCAACTTGGCATTATGCCCCTTCCAACATTATATATCTAGAAAGTTTTACTACAGATTCATGAAAACGTTAATATTCACGGATATGGAACAAGATCCGCAAGTTTATTGAACATACATTATCAATTACTGAGAGAAATTCACTAAGCTTATCATCTTGACTCGTCTCTAAAGGCACTAAGCCTTATAAAATTTAAATTTACTTACAAAAAGTTTCTTCTCCAACATTGAGGAATACATTTACGTGTCAGGGCCTTTAACTTGTGAAAGACCTCATTAAATCCTCAGTTTCATTTTATATTTATGCTTTTAATCAACATACACTCTTTACTTTTATTCTTTTTTAATAGATGACTTTATCTTTGTAACTAGCAACAAGTATTTCTGTATTCCTGACTTGCCATAAATACACTGTAGTATGTAAAATGGTCAAATGAAGTACTGATGCCTTTCTTGAAGCTATCAAGAAACTAGGTATTAAAACAACTTGATCTCAATGAGAAACGTACGAAGAAACAAGTCGATAAAAATTTAAGAAATATTTCAATGTGACTGCTGGTCCTTTGTGAGCTGTTACCTACATTTGTTTTCCAGAGAAAATTAACCGCTGTTGTTGAGGCGGTATTCCTTCCTTTTCCTCAACTCTTTCTTTGATTCGTTCCACTTTGTCGGTGGGTTCTATATCAATTTCGATTTCTTTCCCGGTAAGGGTCTAAAATATTCTCAAATTAAAATATGTTTTGGTGATACACTGACAGAAAATTACCTTAACTTTGATCAACATTTTATCAGTATATTTTCAGTTAGTTATAACGCTTCGGACTACTGGTGTATCTTTGAGATTCTTCGATTTAACTAGAAATAAATACAAATTCCACAGCTAAAAAGAAATATACGAATGTCATTGGTCATTTAATGTATAAAAATAAAATTCTCAGAATGACAGATGACAAACTAAGGCGAGTTCCTAAATTCAAAGACGTCCCAAAAATAACCATGACCGTTGTTGGTAACTTTTGAAAAGAAACGGTTCTGTCAATTCCCAAATGTATCAGTGATTAGTCAATAGATACATTATTACCGAACTTGATACGGAAAGTCATACATTGTAAACATGCCTTTTCCAATTATCTAATCAACAGAAGGTGACGTGACATTTCACATCGAACGGTAAACAGCTGATCCGTACAGCTAAATATGGAACACATGTACTTGTATATTTCATTTTTTTCATTTACGACGATTGAGGAAGCCAGGAGACACGATTCTGTTTTACCGTTTGATTCAGTTCTAATATTTCCCATAGACAACGTATCTGGATGATGAACTTCCCTAAGTTTATTTAGCCATGTCCAATGTGCAATGTGAACTGTAATATCCTCTACCACGTGGAGCCCATACTCATGTTGAAAACTACTATTTGAGTGAAGAACAATATAAATATAGCCACTTTCCAAAGGTCACATTTCTTAAAAGGGAGAATGTTGGTTATCGAGTAAATAAATCAGAAGTCTTCAACACGAAAGCAAATCTAATGCTGAAGGTAATTTTAACAAATTATAACAATTGTAGACTATAAAAGTAACTTGATTTGCTTCATTTTCAAGTAGCAAAAATCATTGGGCTAGCTAGTGCGTGTAGACGGGAAGAACTAACAAAAATGGCTATTGATCTAATAAATGATAAGGAAGACATGTTATTTGTGAAAATATAAAATTCCAAAGCACATATTGACAGAACTTTTGTTGTAAAATTGGACCCAAAATTTATGAAAGCGTCATTTGTACCAAACTTCATGTAGATTAGAAGTCAATCATAAATTCAAAAATCTTTATTATATTCTGACATTACAATGTAATGGTAGTGAAATAAGTAAGGTATAAAAATTCTGATAATTCTTTAACAACTTATTCATTATAAAATATATAAAAAAACTAGAGAAGATATACTAGAAATATATGAATACAAGACATACAAAAACAAATATTATAAGAACTAATGAGATCTCAAACAGCCTTATTGTTAACTGGAAGACAGTGATAATATGCAGTTTTCAAGTTGCATTTCAAGCTGAACTCCGGAAGAATATAATTTTTCTTTGAAATTCTATAAGGAACATGGTCAGTTTTCATTTGAGTGAAAGTAAAAACTCCTTCAATTCTTTTGAAATTTGTTACTAAATTTTCTGGACCTGATACGTCAAAAACTCAGTAGCAGTAGAGATGCTTCTGGAGTATTCAGTAATTTTTCAAAAATTTTATATGCAGTCGTGTAAAAATAGGTATATTGTTTTTTTGGAGTTTTAAACTGTCATTTATTTTGAGCGAGTTTCTCTACAACACATAATTTATTCCTGATGATTGACCCCCAAAAGATATTACTAAATTGTGTCTTAAAAACGTTGAGAAACCTACTCAAAACAACTACTGTCAATAAAGCAGAAAAATTACAAACTATCTGGACAGTATGTTCAACAGAATCTAGGATACAATGACATTGTCATTCAATCGATCTCCAACCCATGCTTGAAATAATATTCAAAAAAAATCCAGAAGCTGTTTTCAGCACGCTCCTCTTTTCGAACCTGCTGGATCCGTGCATTACTTTTCGCCAAACAAGCAGCAAACTGCATTATGATTGCTTCTACAGTATAAGCAGGGGTCCACCATTGGGGGTTGAGAATTTCCAAACGAACGATTCCGCAATCCATGAAGAAACTATTCTTTATCGTAGGGGATTGGATGGTCATCAAGGGCGGGGAGAAGGGAAAGTTCTCAGGGAAACTCAATTGGAGGAGGACGTGGGACACACCGAAGTGTTCCATGTCTTTGCCGAAGTCGCTGTCGCGGTCCACTTTGAAAAGCTTGACCTCCCACTGGAAGAGGTTACCATTTACTAAGTCTACAGTGAAAGAGGGGTCAGAGTCCGAATTCTGGCGGCTTTGGAGGTCGCGGAGTTCCTTCGTAACTCTTCTTTCTCTCACTGTTTTTTTACGGTACTCATCCTCACTAGCTCTTACTCCTGAATTGTTCCCAGGTGAAGTACCTTCCCTCTTGCTTATGCAGAAAAGTCTCTCCTGTAAGTTACTCATTCTGAAAAGTATAGAGATATGACCATCAGGAATTTATTTGGCACTCATCATGACTAGCTCTTGCTTTACATTCTGAAACAGGCTGCCAGATCCTACCGCTAAATTTTCCTAACACTGCCGAGCGACCGGTGGCGTGTTTCCCTCTTTCTGAGAGGATAAATATTGACGTATAGGATTATGTAACTCAGAGGTGTCGAACTCAATTTTGCAGAGGGTCATATATTAAATTTAGAATGTGTAGGCGGACCAGATTCAAATAAAAAAAAAATTACCGAATTATTATAACATTTTATCTATTTAAATATATAGTGTATAGAATTCTTATTTACATTCATGACATCTGCTCACCAAAATAGGTACTACCAAGTATGCAGAGAATGCGTGCAGCTTTTTTGATTCCGGATGGTTACCCAAACTCTTGAAATACATATTGTGTATAGAATGTAAGAGCGTTAACCTTTTTAAATTTTTCTTTCAAAATACTGCCTGATTGACGATTTATCAACACCATTTGCAAATGAACTGGTGCCTGTGAAGCTTCTAAATTGAATGGATTGTTGAAAATTGGGAAATTCCTTTCATTCATTTTGTGGAAGTCTTCAAAACGATTTTTGAATTCCGTGACCAGATTTTGCAGAAGCTGGAAATATTGATACAATTTTTTTTGGTTTACTGTGTCAAATGATTTTTAATGAGGGATATGATCCAAAGTTTGATTTTTACCTGATTTTCCCACAGCCTCAACTTTTTTCTGACCATATCACTTCGATTACTCACGTGGCACCGACGCACATCTTTTATATATATAATGAATGTTCTATTGTTCTTGACATAAATAATAATCCAACACTTACAATAGACCCATACGACCAATGACCGGCACCCACGCCCCCTGTATGTCTGTGGTTCTGTCTAAGTTATAGAACTATAACTTAGAGGTTCTGTGGCCGCGTCGTCGTCTAACAGTGTAACCTCAAAACTTATCACATACACATTCGTATTCGTATGTATTCAAATGAGATTACTGTGTAGTTGAAAATGTCAAGTAAACGGAAACATATGACACTACTTAATTCATTATGATTTTTTCTATATAATCCAGCAATCCGGTTTCCAACAATGCGGCACCCCCTGGTTTTTAATAGTGCCGGATTTGTGAGATTCTACTGAATTTATATATTCCTATACGTCGATATTTACCACGTTGAAAGTGGGGAAACATGCCACTATTACTCGCTCGGTAGTGTTTAGAAAATTTAGTGCTGGGTCTAGTAGCTAACTTCACATTGTTCCCTTACTCTGTTTTTATCAAATATAAAACTTACCTTCCTATTGTTGTGTCAGATTTTAGAATCCTTATCTATATTAAAAACTCAACCACACAATCACCGTACAAAAGGTTATTTCTTTTTTTACAAAAATGAACAAAAACACTCAACATTTCATAAGTGTTGCCAACAGCAGCTGCTAGTGGTAAACTCTGCTTGCCAATGTAAAAACGTTGAATTTTGCAAATGGTTCACTAACGATATGTTTGAAAGAGAACTATTTCCTAACCGCTGCTAACGAAACAACAATACTGCTCTGAGGTTTGCCTGAACAATTATTTTGTTAATATTTCGTACAAGTTGTCAATTCGAAAGATCATCACACCAAGGTGGCGCTGCACAACTCAAGGAAAACAATGAAAATGTGATTTTTCATTGTTTTTACGGAAACGACGTTTGTTAATACAACTAAATTTCACTCAAAGTACCAATTGTTGAAGTATCGTTGGCGGAAATGATAAGTCATTTTACAATCAAGTAGAAGGTATTGCCAGAAGAATGGCAATAGTATCTTGTAGTATCGGTTTTATGAACATAATATTGAGCTCTAACTTTATTGGTAGTATTAGTGAGATCAGGAGGGAAATTTGAATTGATAGTAATTTTAGTTGTGTAATATTTTCACATACCAAAATTTACACAACGTCTTTCACTACAACAGATTTTTTAATCCAGATGCACCAGATACACCTGAAGAAGTTAGTTATTAGTGGAACACGTGTTAGGGCTTAGTGAACTTTTGATGTAATTGGGGAAGTACCCAACTGCCCTACACCGTAGGTGTAGGTAGTTGAGAAAAATTATTATTTCGAAATATTCTTATTGTCAATCAATCGTGAGTGACTTTTTGTTTTAGAGTAAGGTTATGCAGAATCTCATTTTTAGACGACGCCAAATAAAGCATAACAAGATATAATAAAAACATTCATATATTCGGTTAACATTCATCAGATTAATTTAAATAACACGATTCAAATACAAATGTCCATGTCCTAATGATAATAACGACAAATTTACCTTTTCTAGTCAAGAAATATATCGGAAGACGAAATTTATACATATAAGAACTAAATACACATATAGTAACAACAAATCTCGATAATCGATTGTTATTCAATTAATACTGACTGTAAACGGGTAGGAACCAGCAGTCAAAAAGTCAAATGAAACGGCTCCCGGTATAATCACTGTGTCAAATATATTTTATAAGTTCGATGGCCATGTTTTGCAGGATATTCCTGAACTAAAGTTTCATTCTATTGGTGGACGGCTGAATATCATTCTTATGGTATTATTTAGTCCAGGTAGCCAGACTATTTCTTCCATTCCCTCTTTCTTTCAGTTGAAATGATCTCTGTGTTTCTGAATTTCTATCGCCTCCCAATCTAATGGCTCCTAGATAGTGGTTCTGAATTATATCGAGCACTTTGGTCTATTCGAAAGCGATTGGTTGCCCTCTCCGAGTCCAAGACTATATAGAGAGATAATATAATTTCAGAAATATAGAGACAATTTCAACCGAACAGAGAATTAACATTAATAAAGTCGAGCTACCTGCATTTAACTGAACAAGTCATGTCCAACACCAAAGGAATTAAACCAAACCATCTATATTGTAGGTAGTAGGTATATACGCGCTGTGAGAAGCATTAGGACACTTCTTTCTTTCTCACATCGCTTGATATTCACAGCATTCGAAGACGAAACGTCGTGAAAACCTGCAGACCATGGCAAATAAATCCGGGAAATAACTTCGATATATCTATTTTTCATTTGATTTTTGATTAGAAGCTCCTCCAGTATCAAAGCTAAAAGTCTACAGGTACTTAAGTCTGATATATAAAATATATGGTGAGCATCTGTCAAAATTTGAACATCTTATTCAATGTATAACATCAGAAATATAATTTTCATAAACTCAATAATAAAAAAGCTACAACTAACAAAGCTAAGAATGAAAAAGTTATGTGATTTTTTGTAGTGGGCGCAGTTTGATGACATCCAAGAAAACACTTTTGAGTAAAAATTGTTCATGTAACAATATTTTTTCCAAGAATTAGTGTTTCGAATTGGTGTCATGTTATTATCTATTTACAGAGCCTCTCTGTCTAGACAATCTCGTATTAGGAGAATATTCAATTTTGTTTCATCCTTAACCTAAAATCTATCTAACAATCACTCGTGAATAACCCTGTATGGCTTCAGAAGTTTCACATGGTGTCCCTTGTAGCGATATTGTGAGAGTGTAAAAGTAGAAGTTAACTTCTATACCTATACAGTGGCGTAGGTAACAGTATTTTTCTATAGAATGAGTAAGTAAACAGTACACCTTCAACCATGTGTATATAATAGACCTTTTCATCATAAGACGAGCGCAAGCGTAGCTGTCATATTGAAATGGCGGTAATTCAAAACATTCGTACTGTTTTAATCAACAATGGCAAGGCAAGGAATATTATATAAATCAAGCCATTAATATTTTGTGGCTGTACATATGACATTATTAATAAGACAAATACGTAAATACTGAATTGAATATGTTTAGTAATTTTTATAGAGGGAAATATTTAATACAACATAATATATATAAAATTTACAGTAGAAAATGCAATAAGGAATAATGTACATATGTTGAAATTCCTGATAGCTTAAAGGATCAGGGTTTTGTTCAGTTAGACCACTTTCTCCAATGAAATGTAGTGAGCAAATATAAGTATCTTTGGTAACATCATCAATAGATTTAAAGCCTCGGTCACTCCTGCCACATTTTTTCACCTATAATTAACATTTCGCATATTTTGCACATGCTTTAATATGTAATTTACTTGATGATTTGATTTTTTTTGCTATATTGAAGACAAGGCTTTGGAAAATTTATAAAATAGTTTTATAGTTTCATAGTTAAATGTATCCTGTATCATTTTTGCATACTCCATAACAACACCGTTTTGTTGTTACTTTTCGTACAGATAACATAATTATAATGGAGTATAAAAAATGTTTTCTGATTATTTTGACTTACTACTTTACTTTTTTCAAACTTTTTTTACAATTAATAAACTTCAATTTATACTTTAATCTTCAAAACATGAGTTGCGGGCTCTTTAACATGGTTGTTTACAAAAAACAGTACGAAAAACATGGCTGATACTGAAGAATGCGCAAAAAAATATTTGTGATGAAAAGGCCTATTGGATTCAACATGAATGTGCTGAAAACTTCGTAGTCTGACACACAGATGGCGCCTCTAGTATTGAATCCATATCATTTTTAGTTAACCCTAACTTTCAAAAGACGACACATGTACCAGTTTCACAGTTGTTATACTATTAGTTTGTGAGATAGAACATTTTGAGTGAAGCAACTTTCGTTAGTTTGAAGAAAATAGAGAAACATAAATTTTTGTGTGTTAATGAAGCACCGCTTTTTGGCAAAAAAATATTCGTTTTGTCAAGGCTTGCCTTGTTAAACAACGTTAACAAAAATACATGAAGAAGAAGAAGAAAATCAAATTATTCAATGTGAATCCGTTTACGGTGTTGCCAAGTTCATAACGGATGTTAGTGACGTCGTCATGACTATCTATTTCAATCAATTTTGAAAAAACTACTACAAAAAATTGTAAAGAAGTAAATAAAATAGTGTTCACCTATGCGGTTATTTCAAATAAGTGGAAAGATCCATTTTTTACTTCCCTTAGTGAAAAATACTTGGCCAGAAACAGAATTGTTTTCTACCCACATAGGTGATTTCTTGAACATTTCGTGGCAATAATCAACATGACTTTAGCCACGAATTAAGTTGAGCTAGTCAATCTACGTTATACTTTTTCCCAGGTGGTTGATGATGATTTTTGTTAATATCAGAAAATTTCTTCTTAATATCATCATTATCCTTGTTTCATAAATATTAGAATTCATGAAATGAGTGAAAGTGGTGATTTTCCTTCTTCAAAGTTATGCATATTCATTGAGTTATGGCTTATATATTCGATAAACTGACCCTTACTTTGCTTTGGAGCTTTGCGAAGCAATACCTCTATATTCATCACAGAAACTTGTGAACCATTTTCAGAATTTTTCGCATTGGCATAAAACCCTTATTAGGTAGACTTAAATTTCAGATATACTTTATGCAAGTCAAATTTCTGTATGATTTGTAAGAGACATTTCTTAAAGACAGGTCATTTATATACCATTACCATTGTTTTCTCTCCCTTGCATTTATAGTGAACACAGTACATCTACCGTAGAATATAAATTTGACACAAAAATGGAACGGTTTCGTTTTGAACAGTCGCTCGACCTACCCGTCGGCCAAGCTAGGGGTCACCCAACCATACTTATCGTGAGTCTTGACGAGAGATCTGAAGCTTTCCTCTGCAGTACGCCTGCTGAACACTTTCTGGCCCTTGTTTTTCCTCTGTATCCGTCCCTGGCCCTTCACCACACTCGCAGCGAACTGCATGATGACCGCCTCCACCGTGTACGCGCTAGCCCACCCTCTGGGCGTGAGCAGCTCCATACAGATGGCGCCACCTTCCATCACGAAACCCTTCTCTATCCTGGGAGAAATAACGCGCATAAACGGCGGCGAGAAGGGAAAGTTTTCCGGGAAAATCAGGTTGAGGAGGATGTGAGCGATGCCCAAGTCTTTCATGTCGTTGCCCAAGTCACTTTCACTGTCCACTTTGAAGAGTTTCACGTGCCACTCGAAGAGGTTGTCGTCCACCAGCTCGACGGTGAAGGTGGGTTCGCTTTTGGAGTCCTGCAGTCTCTGCAGGTCGCGCAGCTCCTTCATGAGTCTCCTTGCTCTGACGGTTTTGTTCTGTGATTCGTCGCGTTTGCATTTCGAACCGAAAATAGGGCTAGATTGGGATGCAGCTGGGGAGACGGTATTACAGCCACGTAGCAGTCGTCTCGCTGGAGATCCGTTTGCTGCTCCTGAAGTGCTGGGTTTGCTAGGACCTTCGCCGTCTCTCGTGGAAGATTTAAAGAGCTTCCGAAAGATGCCGGAGACTTTTTCTTTAGAGCGGCTCATTGTGGCGAGGCTGGCTTTGCGGCAGGTCTATCAGGATCAGCGGGGCATCTTACCTGGAAACAATTAATGAAACAGGATATGGATGTAAGTGCTAAATGTTAGTGATAGTTTATGATGGCCATACGGCACAATGACACACGGACCGCTATCTTACGGTTTGGAGAGTCCAAACGAAGCAAACCCTTGCCAACAAGCATCCAAGACCTTGACGATTTGCTCGACTATTTACATTAGCAGAAATTATTGAGCCAGGCTGACAGCCTAGAGATACTATAGATAAGATAATACAACTTTTCGATAGAGACCACACCTTATTTCGACCTATCATGCAGAATACAATCCCGTCAAACGAAAGAACCATAATTTGAAAACCCAATACGCTATCATAAACATTAGAATTGGAAGAAAAGAACTTGCGATGTCCCACCATCAAGTCAAAGTATCGAAGAAGTAAAAGGGTGATCCCCCTCTCACCAAGGGGATCACTCTTTTACGTGCAATTCTTTGGAGTATGTATCTCACTTTCGTTGGCGAGGTTATGCAGCTTTTGTCCAGCCTTCTAATGCCGAGTTAGAGGTGGTAGATTAGTGAACTAGTTAAGAGCTTTCCATCCTACCACCAGTGGAGACAGTCGGAACAAACGAGGCGCTTAACGAAATTAGGCCCCTTAGGCTGCAACAACTGGCTAGCAAATTGAAACCACCATTTAACACTCTCTAGCATTATAAAAAAAATTTACCGCTTAGGTTTGGAAACTTGAATGGCGTACACACAAGATGGAAGCTAAGATCAAGTTGGCGAGACACCATACGTCTGGTACCTAGTGTGCTATAGATTACTGGGCGACCTATAGACGTGAGTGATATTTCTAAGGAGATACTACAGCGAGGATTGAACAATAAACGTTCCTACGGAGCAAGATCTGGCCAATTCAGCCAATTCAGACTACTTTTTTTGGGTGATACCACGACGGACAATGAATTGTACATGACAGACATTTATGCAAACTTCCTAACATAGCAGCAGCACGACTTCGCTGAAATCAATTGAGTGATCATCTACAGACCGGAGGCCGAGGCCATAGACATACATTAACATAAGATAAATTTTAACCGTAAGGAAGAGAGCTTAAATATTAACAACACATGGATACCGGCACTTCATAACACAAATATTCTCCCAGTAATTGAATAAGGGTCGGGCCAATCAGGTACAAGAGCAATCGCCAGTTCGACAGCTAGTCCCATTATAAGTACAAACGCCCTTGATAATGTCTGCCTCAGTAGCAGATGGAACGTCAGGTATAAAAACCTGCAGACCACGCCTAATAAACCTGGAAATATCGAACAATTCATAGTAACTGATTCACAAGGGTTTTCTGCAAAAAACGGGACTTCCATTTCAAAATCTAGGTGTAATCTCCAGAGAAAGTTTGGCTCTGGGATACATTCCCAAAACATGGAGACAGATTAATCGGGCCAACTTCATACCGAATCCTGAGAAAGTCTTGAAGGATTCGGCAACGGCATTGAGACCAATCAATCTCATGTCGTTTGTTGAGAAATCATTTGAAAAACGACTTAACAGACTTGTTAAGGACGAAACGCCGGCTAACAGACCACTGCATCATAGGTACAGGTTAGGCGTTCCAACAGAAAATGATTTATGTCGGGTCAGAGATAAAACAGAATATGCCTACAACAACAAGAAAGTATTCATGATAATAATTACAAATTTTCACAACATCTTCATTTCCAATACGCGTTTCACTATGACAGTTGTTTCCTCGATTGGATTGGTCTAGTCCAACTGTTGCAAAGTCTATATGGTGAAGGAATGTAATTCTTATCATGAATATCATGAATAGTGGTATTGATTTTCACCAAGTGGAGGGTCAGTGTATTCGAAAAATAAATAAGTAATTTACCTTCTTTCTTGAAAATGGAGAGTACATTTGATAATAGGTTCATACAATCAATCATCCAGCCTTTGAGGAGAAAAGGGTTTGACCACACTGTCTGCAGGATGATGAACTAAAATGGGGGAAATAGTAATAGCATTGATGTCCTCAACGGAACACCGTTATCGAACCTTGTAATGGAGGCGTTATTGCGGTTTCTAGACCATGGTGGGTATAAAGTCTTGATATTATAACAGAAAAAACCTAGGAAGAATAAATATCTGGGAGTGATACTAGAATCTAGGCTGACCAACATCTAGAAAGAGTAAAAATAAAGGCGGAGGAGATTGCGCATCTACGGAAAGACATGGGCTGAAACCATACATGCTGTATTGGCTCTACCCACACCATGGTGGTAAAACCCATGATTACATATGCATCTATGGTCTGGTGGCCAAAGATGAAACGAAGACCGGTATTAGAAGACGAAGCAGGATACAAACACTTGCGTGTTTGGGAATAACGGATACACTCTTAAATCTTCCCCCTTTATATCTTGTTCTAATGCGGGAGGCAAGAGTGGGCCAATTTAAATAAGGAATATTCGCAGAGGTATAAGAGGGATTGGGCAAAACACATATTCATAGAAACCCTGATGTTTCAACCATTTCAAATTTAATTTGTCAAAAATTCTGCACGCGATGGATGATATTGATCCAATTGTATACACATGTTGAAAGATTGCGCAAGAATCGAAATCTGTCGCGCGTATTAAATCTTTCAATTCATGGATCATGCGAAAACATCTCTAACCTAATATCAATTCATTTCAAAACGTAAACAACATTGAAAACTGAAGCAGTGTCTCTTGAGTTGTACTCAACACC